CCACGGTAGACGGGATGATGAGGATGGTACAGGGAACGGTTCCACTCAGCAAAGGAGTTACGGGACCCTTTCTTCTGTTTTCCCCGGCTTCTCTCTCTCTCGGTATTCTCGAGCAAAGCGTCAGCGGGCACAACTTCCCGAAGGTGTTACAAAACCAGAGGCCTGGCTCAAGAACGCGGGGCCACTTCAAATTGAACCAAAGGTCTGGCTCGCTAACGAGCGGACGTTCCTCAAATGGCAGCACATCTGCATTCTTCTTGGTAGCTTAGCAATCAGTCTATACACAGCAGCGGGGGAGAACTTCCTCGCTGAGTGTATGGGCATTGCGTATATCGTGATTGCTATCCTCGCTGGAGGATGGGGATACTTTATGCTGCACAAGCGCCGCGACATGATCGTAGATCGCAGTGGCAAGGACTTCGATAACATGATTGGGCCGCTATTCATCAGCGCCGCCTTGATGCTCGCTTTGATACTTAATTTTGTGTTCTCGGTAAGATGATCTTCATATTAGTCTTCTATTATCTTAGGTGAAAACAAATCTACTCACTCTCTTACGTTTAGTACCGAGCCGCGTTTGCAAAATTGGATAATCAGCTGTTGAACGGAACTGAAGCAGCATTTATTGGAGAGCTCTTGTAAAATATAAAAAGCTCAAAGGACGGTGGCATATATCGCCTGTGATACCTTCTTGTGAGAGATGTGTAAGAAATCTGTTCGTTCTATACTTCATGGATGGTTCGATTGGTGCCCCTGTATTGGATATGTCAAAATTGCTGTATGCATAGGCCGGCTAAATATACCGAGAATATGAGTATATACCTGGATAATAAGAAACTCATTAGCATATCATTGGTTTTGTCAAGATAGTAGAATATAAGGAGAAAAGAGTTGCACAAATAGTAATCCGCCAGCAGTGAAGATGGAGAAAAGGAGTGTCGTACATAATAAATCGGGGCAGTGGGGGTTATGTAAGCAATTACCTAGCTTAGAAGCTATTATCCACGCAGCTGGCACGGCGAAACTAGCGACTTCTTTTTCCTGAATGGCTGCTTCCAAATGCAATGTCTCGTTTCAGCATGATGCAGTCAGTGACCAAGTCCATGAGGCTGGACTCTTTCTGCTGGATTGTGCATTACACGTTCCTCACCTGCAGCTTCCTGTTTCGCGCGTCAATGTGCATATTTACCGTAGTTCTGCAACTTAAAAAATAATAAGTCCAGTCTTTTGGCGTGATACATAGGTACTTTTCTTAAAGTCACATATCAATCTAACAATTCCGCGATTTCATTTTTCTTATTATTTTCACATGAAATTGTAACAAATCGCGAGTTCGTCTATTCCCGAGTACCGAGTCAAGTACCTATACTCAATTACCTTGTTTGCCTCATCTGCTTTTTCTTATCACTTTACATGTAGCTGCGCCCAGCCACAAAAACTGACGCGTACCTACATCGTGCAACGTCGGCAACGAAGATATATCGAAATATTCTGCATCTCCGCACTCATCTACCTTTATGCCTGGAAAAGATCTACCACGAGCCAACCATGTCCGAACCAAAGAAGAAGGGGCTTTTGAGTGGTCTGATGCGCAGGATTAGCAACGCCCAAGGGAGCGGTAAGCTGGTATGTATCCGCCCCGCAGCAAGTTGATGCCTTACTCACGGGTCACGAGGTGAAGGATCCGCCATCGAGACGGGCAAGCGACGGCGACATACCTGTGCGAAGAAATCGGTCTGATAGACCTGATGTGATTAATTCTCGTAGGCGGCCGCGCCGTCCGGATCCGCGTGATTCAAAAGGTAAAGGTAGGGAGCAGCCAAACGGCCACAAGTACGAACCGGCACCCTTGTCAGAATGGCCCCCATCTGGTATCTCCAAAGAGGAACAGCTCACCCTCGGCCACGCAATGGAGCTCATCTCAAGAGGTGTTCCAGCACATAAGGGGCATAAACGGCCTATCCCTCATGCGTCAGATCATTACTACGGGTTATACACGACGACAGCTGGTAACCACGGTGATGACAACGATACCGTTAACCAGCATGATGCCATGACCCAACTCACAACCTTAAGCATACAGGGCTTCGGTCAACCCAAGTATCCATGGGAGACTCTTGAACAACCAAGTCTTGCTTTTGGATTCGGAAGACGGCCGGGTACTATCACCCTAAACCACTGGGCAAATATATTTAGCGCAATCCCACCACCAATCGGGCTTCGTGACCCTGGAGTTGTGCCGAGAGAAGCTGATTTAGGTTCGATATTCGAACGACTACAGGATTTGGAGGCTGGTTTAGAAGATGGGAATGACGAAGTCTTATATCGTCTGTATAAACGATTTCTTAAAGACCCCGACAAGCTCTTTAGCCCGCATAAGACGATGGAGAAGCAGATTACGGATTTGGTTATGTGCCTTTCAAGCCCAGATTGGATTGATTTCTCGAATCCGAAGAACCAGGTTGTCACAAAGTTTATTTATGATCCTGGCCCCGAGAACCAGCAACAATATCATAAATTCTTCTACCAGTTACTCTTGAGCCTTGAACTAGAACTGCGGATCAATTCGAAAAAGCATCAGGACCCGGCCAAGGAGAGGCTTGTGGCGCAGATACCACCGAGAATTCAGTGGAATTTGGCTCTCGCTAGGCGGTGGAGGGATTTTGTGCGTATCGAGGATTACGGCGAGGAGCCAGATCAGATCAAACTACGGTTCAAGATGAGGAGGAGACAGGTCAGCATGCTAAAAAGATTCGCTCAGATGATGAAATGGCCGAACCTCGCCGACACGATAAGCGAGCTCAAGCAGAGAGATACTGAGGGAACGTTGATGATTGTCAGTTCGCACGCGATGGCTTTCTTCAGCGGTCTAGTCTTACCAGGAGTATGAACCTACCATTCACTCCTTATTCGCGACATTGTTGAATTTACTAATTTTCATGTAGCCCACATTCCCTTTTCTCATTATGAACTCTTTGATCGATATCGACCCCGATAAGGCGACTGACAATCTTGCTTTGCTTACGCACCTTCATCCCCACTGTGGCTTCCAGTACCGCAATAGTTATACTTACTGGAGATCGGCCTGTATCGTTGGTAAGGTGCTTGCGCCGACATGCCACGAGGTTGCTGGATGGGTTGGTCCAGCTAGACCGACAAAAGACTTGGGGCGCTCTGAGATTGCCCGGATTCGCTCGAAAAAGCCGCGACAGAATATTCTAACACCAGAGGACGTAACTTCTATGAGCGATAGATCGGACCCTTTGGGACCACGGTCCGAAATTTACCCCGTCGGGGATTACGACCTGTTGGCACCTGATACGGATGATATAGTCGATACAGTCCTACTTGAGCAGGTTATTCTCAATGTAGCTACTGATAAGCAAGATTCGGGCCCTAAATGGTTCGACGCGTCGATACAGTTCGCTATTGATGGCGTGTCTTGGCCACTTCACCTTACGTTTGATGTGTCGTTCATCAATGCTTGGCCGTGCTCTGACGGACCTCACCCTCTGTTCTTTGACTATGTCTATACTCCCCGCAAAGTTGACGAACTCGTAGATATATTAGACTGGGGTAAACCAAATTGCAGGGAAAGAAGCTTTCGTTCACCGCCAGCTGGCGGAAGCAAGTCGCCGGAATTTGAACCCATCGTGGGAGGGGACGACGCGGAGAGAGTCCTACTGGTTGAGGCGTTCGGCAGTAGCGACAACGAAGTCTTGGCGCGGGCGTGGTGCTCTCACTGGGGACTCAGCGCAGTAGTGGCGGATATTAGCAGGACTTGGTGAGTTGTTCTCGTCGCACGACGATGATAGATGATTGATTGATTGATGGCTAATGCGACACAGCATGGCGTGCGCTATCCGTGAAGCTTACGCAGCAACCTTGACGGTTGTAATTCTTGTTGAGGATCAGCCGGGAGATGCGGAATAACGAGGTGACAGTCGGAAGTTTCATTGCGAGTGCTTGGGATCGTCACGATCACCGGCAAATGGTGACGGCGCAGAACGAGAAGATACACATACACGTACTAATCTCTTAACGAACATATTGACGCAGTCGACGACTTTCACGATGGTTACACAATTATACAGGTGTTCTAGGTATTAGGGGAATGGCATAGGATAGCTAAAATTTTGCTTTTATAGCCCGGAATAGGGAGTTTCGCATAGATATACCCGTTCAGTCAGTCCCATTCCGCGTTCCGGTCTTAATTGTATTACTATTTCTCCCACGCAAGACAATGTTGCGTCCTGCTTTGGAAGTGCGGCTTTTTAAATGGATTGCCTACCTATATTGGCTGATCGGCATCCTTTGCGGAGGGTGCTTGACGAACCAGAGGACTCTGACTACAACCGAGAGGCAGGGAGTGGCGGTTTGCCACACCACAGATCATCGTGACCTCCCTCCTAATACCGGACTTCCTTACTGCAAACGCCCGAAAGCCAAGTTGGCGGTGGACGTAGGTATGCTGGTTTTGTATGCCAGTATGTATGTACATCACATCCTGACATCCAAGCATTCGTCAACCCTGTCGTGACTCGTACAGCTATAATGTGGGTTTTTCGCTTAGTGCAAATTCTCTGAGATGTCAGACCTGTGCATTGGTAGTTCTCCAATAAATCCCGTGTAAAATTTTTGGCCGTCCCACGTTATTGTCGGCTCACCCGAAAATTTTGTGGAGTGGCTTGTCACCCAACAAAAGTCACGATACCTATTTAAAGGTGGGAGTCTGGAGGTTAGGCAATAGGAAGAGGTACAGGTAGGTACTTGGCATGGACGGACTATACACTAGACGGCTAGAGTCGCTAGACAACGCGGAGGGGAAGGCGGTTTAAATTAGGGAAAAGATTAGCGGGGTATCGCTTGGCTTTAGCGGCTTCCGTCCCCACATCCCCCACCTTGTGACGACAGTACGGTACTGCGGTGTACCCTGCAAAAGCGTAGGATTCGCACCGGCTTCGCCCAAAGGTCTAGATAGGCTGATAGGCTAGGCTAACCCAGGCCACTCTAAAAGTTTCGACACTTTTTCTTGGAGAATGGGTAACAGGGGTTAAGTAACGAGGGGGGGGTAGCTTCTTACAGCTCACGAGGCTTGAAGTGTTATGGAAGGTAGTGGTACCCTTTTTATACTCCTATAACAATATTTTTTCCTACTCCTCGGTTTCCCATCGGGTTTGCTTCTTGCCTTTGTCCTGCGCGAATTGTTTCATTACCGGACTTGTTTCTCGAGCCGACACACACACACACACACAATATTCGAAATTGTCGGACAGCGATTGGAAAGAACGTCTAGCTCGGCATTGTGTCCTACCCAAACAATTGGGTGGATTAAAGTTTCCTCTTGCGATTAATAACTCTATTCACATAGGTATTCACTCGTTTTGCCGTGTACGCCGGAAGCAGAAGCAGAAGCAGAAGCAGGTGCAGAAGTGGCTGACTTGAGGCCGCACCTTCCCCCACGATGGAGTTAGTCATGTCCCAAGTCCCAAGTCCCAAGTCCTTAATCTTTTGACCGTTGGACCGTTTGATCGCTTGATCGTCTGTACAACCGACAAGTCAAAGCTACCTAAGGTTCTGACAAAGAGTTCCCGTCTAGTACCCGGAATATAATTCACTTCGAGGATAACGTGCGTTTCTATAAGAGTTTCTTATAACACTCTTCCCTCAATATCAATGCAGCTTCGTGGATCTAGTCAATTAACACAATCACCATGCAGGATCACTACATTGGTATTGACGTTGGTACTGGGTCCGCCCGTGCCTGTCTGATAGACTCGTCTGGAGACATTAAAGCTCTAGCCTCCGAGGCTATTAAGCTATGGCAGCCCCAACAAGGTTACTATGTACGTTCTTTCACGGAACCCCCCTCCCTGCTTTGTCTTGATCAGTACGACGTGGGACCTAACAAAGCTTAAGGAACAATCAACCACCGATATCTGGCACTGTATTTGCCATTGTGTGCAACGCGTCGTCCACCAATCCGGAGTCGACGTTGGTCACATCAAGGGATTAGGTTTCGATGCTACTTGCTCGCTCGCAGTCTTCTCTGAAAAAGATGACCAGCCTGTCACTGTTACCGGTCCGGACTTCGAGAACGACGGCAACGATCGCAATGTTATCTTATGGCTGGACCACCGTCCCGTCCAAGAGACGGACAAGATCAATGCTACCGGCCATAACCTGTTACGATATGTAGGCGGCAAGATGAGCATCGAGATGGAAATTCCTAAAGTATTATGGCTGAAGAACAACATGCCTAAGGAGCTATTCGACCGCTGCAAGTTCTACGACTTGACAGATGCGTTGACTCACTTGGCTACCGGCAACGAGAACCGAAGCTTCTGCAGCACAGTCTGCAAGCAAGGCTACGTCCCTATCGGCGTAGATGAAAGTGAGAAGGGTTGGCAAGAAGACTTCTTCACTGAGATCGGACTAGGCGACTTGGCCAAAGACAATTTCAGGCGCATGGGAGGCGTTGATGGAATCGTAAGCTCTCCTTCTCTACTCTCAATTGGTCCTCTGCTATATCGAGACAATTTGCTAATTCATCCCTTAGAATGGCAAATACTTCAGCGCAGGAGAACTCGTTGGCCATCTGTCTGACAATGCTAGCAAGCAGCTAGGACTGCAGGCTGGCATCGCAGTCGGCAGTGGCGTAATTGATGCCTATGCCGGCTGGGTCGGTACCGTTGGAGCAAAGGTTGACACTGAGTACGGTCACGCAGACGAGAGCGCCCCAGCAAACGATCTCGCCCAAGCTTCTACCCGACTTGCTGCCGTAGCTGGCACATCCACCTGCCATCTTGCCATGTCTGAGAAGCCCGTGTTCGTCAATGGAGTATGGGGACCTTACCGTGACGTACTCCTGCCCAACTACTGGTTAGCAGAGGGTGGCCAATCGGCAACAGGTGAGCTTTTAAGGCACATCCTCGAGACACATCCGGCACATAAAGAAATTGTGCCTCTTGCGGAAGCTATGCACATGAACGTATACGATTACATGAATGGCCATCTAAGGGAGTTAGCTGAGAAGACTAACGCTCCCACCGTTTCCTACCTTGGACGGCACTTCTTCTTCTACGGCGACCTGTGGGGTAACCGATCGCCCATTGCGGATCCCAACATGAAAGGATCTGTAATTGGTCTCAGTTCTGACTCCAGCGTTGATGGTCTTGCCCTGTATTATTATGCTACTATGGAGTTCATTGCCTTGCAAACGCGACAGATCATCGAGGCTATGAATAAGGCAGGCCACAACATTCAGACTATTTTCATGTCCGGCAGTCAATGTCAAAACGATATGCTTATGGATCTCATCGCCACTGTCTGCGATATGCCGGTGTTAATTCCCCGATACGTCCACGCTGCTGTGGTGCACGGGGCGGCCATGCTTGGTGCAAAGGCAGCAAGCGCAGATGCTGATGGCAAAACTGAGAACCTCTGGAGTATTATGGACCGAATGAGCAAGCCGGGTCGGCTCGTTAAGCCCGGGAGCGACGCAAATGAGAAGAAACTCTTCGACGTCAAGTACGAAGTATTCCTAGAGCAGTGCCGGACCCAGCGGGAATACCGTTCTAAAGTTGATCAGGCTACTAGTACCTGGGGTCTTGAATACGGAAATTAGACAAAAAGGGACTATTGGGTATGGTATCGGGAACTAGGTGTTAATGAAAAGCTCTGTGGGACTCATGAGCAGGCGCGGGTGGTAGAGGGTAGAGGGTAGAGCACCTGTAGAAAGACTAATGCCATAGGGATACAATCGGAGATTTAGACTAGGTTAACTGCATACATACGCGTTTATTTCCAAACTGATGTGAATCAATAGACTAAGGGTTGTAAAGCCAAATATGCTATGTTTGTTGTTGTTGAAAGACGTGTCTTGGAAGCAAATAAAAGTGATTGATTGGAATGGAATGGAAGGTAGTTACTTGGTGCTACCAATCTGCCAATTGACTTCTCAAGAGGTTGATTTCCATAATGGGATACATTCCAGGTGCATGTAATACACATAACAGAGGGTTATAGGTTTTATAGTTATCGGCTATAAAACTCGTTACTTTAAACAAGTTCCGCGTTTTATGGAGGAGTTAACTATGCATATATTATGCGAAGAATGCAAGGAAGACGGGCCTTTTAGAAATATAACAAGTTTACAATTGACTGATCTATTGCAGATTTCACCACTCCCCGAATCCGTCCTCTTCTGATTACCGGTTACTGCTCTTTAGCACTTGACGATATACCTATAGAGGGGCATATGCTCAAGCCAGTTTGTAAACGTCAAGACGTTCGCAATCGAATTCCCTCAAGTCTGGTCTTGAAGGTTTGAAGACTTGTGAATTCCAGATTGCCCGTGGGGTTAAAGCCCCTCGTGGGAACGAACTATCTTCGATATAGTGCTTCAATGCGATGACTTTATCTCTAGCCGTCGCCGTTCCATTATTAAGTTGTAGCACGTTTTGGAGGTTGTCCACTTGGATTAAATATGCGGCTAATCCGGCGGTCGTGACGGCAGCTGAAGGTCAGAGTGAGTTAGACTTGATATCTTGCTACGACTTTGGATCGGGTATTGATATGCCTAACTAACTAGTGGTAAACGTACCTTCAGATGTTCCCGTGCCAAACGTATAGAGAACTGCGTTGGGTTCTTCCCACCTGTGGTTGGCAACGCAAATTCTTTCCTGATGGTGCGTTGATTCGAACGAACGGAGCGATCTTGGCAGGTTTGAATTGGTTGCCGTTGGTCTGAACACCACCCACGACAAGAAGGCCATCTACGAATCAACCGCCGAGTGGGTCTCCGAATAGTGCTGGGTATTCGCTGACATACTATCTCAGTTGTAACCAGTGAGTTGATATATATCCAGAGTAGCGACTGAGAAATTATTCTTTTCAACTTACTCCTCCCGGAAGCTGTCCTTTAGTGTTGCCTGAGCCGGTAATGGGGAAAAGGCCGTCGTTGACCCATCTCCTTAAGACAAGACTCGAAGTCGTTTATATCCTGATCACTTAAACCAGCCGGTGAAATGGCAAAACCCATGCTTACAATCGCAAGTCGTCTGCGGTCCCAGCCGCGCGCAATTTTCGCCTTGTAATCATCGCGGACCGCTTTCACAGCTGTAACCCAGTCCCTACTTCCATCGCCGCCATCAGCACCAGTAGGCACCCGAACGATGATGGGGTGAACCCTCTTCGAAACGCCGAAGAGTTTACCGGTTATTTTGCATAGCATTTTGGTGCCGTGGCCCGTCGAGTCGCCCGGCGCTTGGACGTTTCCGGGAAACAACCATGTCGCCCGGTCTCCTTTCCATCATCGGACCAACGCGTGCTTACGGAGTAGTAAAGGAGAAGACTGGTTAGTACCTACCGGATGAGATAAACGTGCTCCGCTGTCGACTACGTACACTAGGGATCCATCTCCGGCACTTTCGTCGTACGCAAATGCTCCCGTCTTGTCTAGGCCCACGCCTTTAGATTGGGAAAGGGACCACATCTCCCTCGTTGTTGGCTTTTGCGTCGTTATGGCAAGGGGCTCGATTGGGGTGGTATCTTCTGAGCACGTCTTAATGGTATTGTCGGCGGAGAGTCGATATTGCTCGTTATGAAAACCCAAGCCCAAGCCAGACGCCTGGGCTATCAGCGTTGCTAGGGCGAAGTAGGGTAATATAGCCATGAGCATTTTTGAGGGTATGATTTTGGTAAGAATGATAAATGAACACAATCTGTACTAACTAACAGGAACTGAAGAGAGATTAGTTGCCCGGTTTAAAGTCTAGAAAGTATATGTAGAGGGGAGCGGGAAGAATGTCCCTTATATGATAAGCGAGAATAGGGGGTTTGGAGGAGCATAGTTATCACGATGCTCTTCGGACCATCGCATACGGCAGGGAGTCCTGGCCAGCGTCGAAGAAGTAACTTGCATGTCGATATGGTAAGCATAGCAAGAATTTCACATTGCCTATATCCTATATCATCACGCACCAGCTCTTACACGTCAAACACGACATAAATCGCAGGTCTCCGCGCGATCTACTTCCGATGTGTTCTCTCGTCTCCATTGCAAAGCCCGAATATTAATTACATACAGCTGCAGCAAGTATGCAATACGCCTTTATGGGCCGTTGAAGGAATACTGCTTTTGCTGCAGTTTAGCTTAAGTCATGTGGTTGAAAGCGCCGTGCTGTATTGTATGTAAGTTGAAGCTTGTCTGTACCGACCTATTGGCCCCGCTTGGTGGAGGGCAGCCTTTCTCGCGAGATGTGCATGCGTTAGTCGGCTTGTATAAATATGAAGGAGATCTTCCATGTTCTAGGCCTACTCGAGAGATCGATATAGCTACCCAACCTAATATATCAGGCTTACGAAAGGAAGAATTACCTAAGCTTATTGGAAGCCGTATGACGCCGGGGACTTGGACGGCGATGAATGCTTGCTTCCAGATCTACATGACTTACCAATGGGAATTCCTCAGTATCTCCGTTTGAGAACGCTGAGAGTGGTACAGAGATAGCCGAAGATGTTTTGAAATGGTGGTGCCCGGAATCATTGCATATGGCATAAATAGTGTAGCCTTTATTAGAAAATTGATGTTAATACAAGTTTAATACTTTAGAAGCTAACATTGTATAAAAAGTAGTGTAGATTTCCGACTTTATACCGATATTTATGCGTACGCAGCGCTAGGTTAGTTGGGTAGGTGCTGTGTTGGTTTGCAGGTGACTAGGTAGGTACTCATTTGGAAGACGCGTAGTTAGCGTGGTACATGGCCCGTGCAGAAGCTACCCGCAACGTCTTTTGCCTTGTTGATTGTTTTTTTTCAGCCTTGCCATAAAATTCCGAGCTCTAAATAAATCGACAACCATCCAACCCATTCATTGGGTCCATTCTTTCAGCTGCCAATTGCAGCAACCCGACCATCTCTCAATAGTGACCGACCTATCATTTTAATTTCAAGATGGCCTCGTTGTTCGGAAAGCCATTAGGCTCTGGCGGTGTAAACGGTGTAAACCAAACGGCCAATACAGCTTCTACTTCCGGGCCGACGTCTTCGTTATTTGGTGCCGCTACTAATCCTGCGCAGCAACAGCAGCAACAGCAACAGCAACAACAATCGCCATTTGGAAATACTGCCGGTACATCATCTGCAACCCAACCGATTCAAACCAGCAGCCTATTTAATAGGTTCACTACGGCCCCTTCAAATCAACAACAGCCTCCAGCAGGAGGCCTTACTGGATTATCTACTGGATTATCTACTGGCAACCAGCAGCAGCAAACGGGAAGCATGTTTGGTACCTCGACCGCCCAGCCCACCCAACCCGCCACTGGTGGCTTTAGTCTCGGTCAGTCTACAAACAACCAAGCTCAAGGACCATCTCAAGGACTATCATCCATACTTGGAGTTAGTCAGATAAATGCCAGCGTGCTGCCCCAGGGTAATACGACAGGGTACTTCGACAGCTTGCTCTCGAAAGCCAAGAAGCAAGGTAGCGAACAATCACCACTCGAAGATCTTCCCAGCCTTCAGCTTGGTCTTGGAGACCTTCGTCAGCGCCTTCGAAAGTTAGGCCCGCGAGCGGATCATTTAGCTTATGACAAAGCTCGCTTTATCCTGGCCGCGTCTGGCGTCGAGCCGGCAGCAGCGGTTCGAGAGTTGAACGATTTCGACGTCCGGATCGGAGGTCGCGTCGAGCGCCCTACTTCCACCTCCGCCGTGGACGTTGACATCGATACATATCTCTCGAATATACAGAAGAAGACGACTCTTAGTATGATCGCGGACGGTCTAGAGAGATCGGCTAGGGATTTCGATAATTTCCTTGAAGATAACATTACGATGGAGTGGGAGGCGCAGAGGAAGCGTATTTACGAGCACTTTGGCATTAAGACTAGAGACGATGGTCCCGTTGAAGGACCTCCGGGAGCAACCAACAGAGAGTCGCATGCGGGCTTTGGTCGGTCACGACGAACAACTAAGACGGCGCGGTCTTCGGTAGCAGGTATCAAGGCCAGCGCATTTGGGCGGTCAAATCTTCAGAAGTCGGTCATTGGCACTCCCAGCAAGATTGGTAGTCACAAGCCCGAATTTACGGATATCCAGGATGCGACGGGAAGCCCAGGTGCCCTAAACGGTGCCACTTCGATCGACGATCGATTTCTCAGAGAGAAGCAGGGTCGCCTCGCAGAACGGGTTCGACAACTTAATCTTTGCCGACTCGAGAAGCAGCCTTATCCTATTCTACACGAGCTTGCGCAGGTGGCAGGAAGTTCTGGTGATAGACATGCCCAGCAATTAGTTGATGCTTATCACGCTGCCATGACTATCGTCGGGGAAAATCCAGAAGCGGAGACGTTTGCGGGTGATGCCACGGCAAAAGAACGCCAATTCAAGGACAAATACTTGGATGTGAACGACAAGTCCCCCGGAGCAATAGAAATGCGAAAAAGAATCCTTAATGGCGCGAACGCCTTTTTAGAGAGGAAGTTTTTCCAGGAGATCGAGAACGTCATCGCCAAATACCCAAGAGAGGCGAATTTGGGAGGTCGCCCGGACGTCATCAGCAAGATCAAGGCATATGTTCGATTACGAAACTCGCGGAAAGACCTCGTACCTGACAACGTCGATCTTCAACAAGTCGACGGCGAGTTCGTCTGGGCTATCGTATTCTATCTGCTACGGTCTGGGAAGATTGCCGAGGCGGCTGATTACGTTAAGGCCCAGTCGACTACTTTCCGGAGTATTGACCGTACCTTCGCATCATACCTCCTCGAATATGTTAGTAGCCCCGATAGGCGATTAAGGCGCCAGTTACAAGAGCGCTGCAATAACGAGTATAACCAACGAGTTCGTAATGCACCGGAGAACTCTATCGACCCGTACCGAATGGCTTGTTATAAGATTGTGGGACGCTGCGACGTGAGCAACCGCAGCCTTGACGGCCTGAACACGGAGATTGAGGATTGGATATGGCTTCAATTCAACCTCGCTCGTGAGAATGACAAGGCAACCGAGGTAGCTGCAGAGTCGTACGGATTACAGGACCTACGAGCAAGCATTCGGGATATCGGCCTCAAACATTTTCCAAAGTCCCCTAGTGAGGACGACAATGGCACTTTCGGCATGTTTTTCTTCCTACAGATCCTCTCGGGCATGTTCGAGCAAGCTATCTCATACTTGTATACTTTCTCTTACGTGGATGCTGTCCACTTCGCCATAGGCCTCGAATACTATGGTCTTTTACGCCCTGCGGACCCTTGGACCACGGCGGACTCGCTTCTATCGCACGACACTCGCTCCAGACCACAGTTAAGCTTTGGTCGGATGCTGGGATACTACACACGCGATTTCCGGGCCGCTGACGTTGCCTCGGCTGTCGATTATCTAACTCTGATCTGCCTCAACGCAGACCTAGGCGGCGAAGCAGGACGGCAACAAGCAGAACTTTGCCATGCGGCTCTGCGAGAACTTATCTTAGAGACTAGAGAGTTTAGTAAACTCATTGGCGATATTAGACCGGATGGGCGCCGCATCACAGGTCTCGTCGAAGAACGTGCCTCGCTCATCGGTCTTCGGGAGGAAGATGATTTCGTGAAGACCGTTACGTTACAAGCAGCCCGGTTCGCCGACGATAACGGGCGGACAACGGATGCAGTGCTGTTGTATCATTTAGCTGGAGACTACGATAGTGTGGTGACTATAGTGAGTCGCGCGCTAAGCGAGGCTATCTCACTAGAGATCGGCGAGGATCCTATGCGTTTGATGCCAGTTAAACCTCGATCGGATGGCAAGGACCCGGAGGCGCAAGTTGGCAGCAGCTTGAGTCTGGCGTCTATCGACGATCCCGTCCAGCTCGCGATGACGATGATGTCGATGTACGAAAAGGACGCCATGTTCTATACGAGAGTCGAGGAGCAGAACCGGATCGCGTGTCATATCCTCCTACAAATGAGCGATATCAAGAGCTTGGTCGAGGGTGGCCAATGGCCTGAGACGTTAGATGTAAGTGTTTTATTAATTCTCGGCCCCGTTATGGATAGATTAAATACTAATTAATGACGCAGAAAATACGGGCGTTGGAGATCCTACCTCTGGATGCTAACGGCGATCCGACTAGGATCCGACACTACGCAGCAACTTTTTCGGGACTATCCCAGACTGTTGCCATCAACGTACCGAACCTACTTATGTGGACTATTACGTGCTGCATCCAACAGAGAGAGCGGCTCATGAGCGGGCAGTTCAGCGGCAACGAAGGCACTCGACGGATGATGTGTGACAACCTGAAGCAGATCAGCATAGATCTAACGACTTATACAAGCCAGCTGAGATATAGGTTCCCGCCGCACCTGCACGAAGCTCTTGCTCGAGCTTCGGCGGATTAATGGGGTTCAAGTGTGTAAAATAGGACTAATAAGAGGGGAAATAAAGCGGATAGCTTGGATGTGTATGCACGCATTCCTTAGTTTGTCCACGCATAGTCGAAGTAATAGGTTTGTGCTTTTCGACGAGAAACGAGACGAGCGCATTTATCATGGTTGGTGTGGTTTACACTAGGGGCTACTATCTACATACCTACATAGTAGGTAGCTTAGACAGGCTATATTTATGCAAATGTATTATGTGATGGGGCTGAGAGTAGTTCCACTTGAAATATAGGTACCTGTCAAGAGACGGTTTCATCTACTATGTAGTCGGCGACCATTAGAAGTGCATTCTATAGCTAAAACTACATGAGGTACTTAAGTGTGGTGTGGCAGGTCAAGGTTCGCAGTAGAAGAAGACTATTAGTAGCTACATTGTATTAGGTGGGCCCACTAGAGCTCTATCCGTAGCTTTAGCCAATTAAAATAGAGGCTTATTTCCTGACTCGTGGGTTAGCTAAGACCGACCAGCCGACGTAGACCGACTTGGCGTCACTGAATCATGAAGGGCGATCTTGACCAGTCAATTGACGCAAACCAAATCGGGCTTTCCCGACACCAGCGTTGCGCCCACTTTCTTTCGCCTACCCAATCTACAGTACCAATGCCATGATACTCCAGTTACATTACCGTACTACTACGGAAATCTCAGTTGTACATTAGTACTGCTAATAGTACTGTCATATGTCATATGTCATAGTACTTGTGATATGCACCCTTCCGCTAACGAAGCTTTTTCCTTCTCCACCTTCGTCGATCGCGACACCGAAACCAACACCGAAACCAATACCAACACCAACACCAACGCTAAACATCATCGAGCTTCCTCCTCCACCGACCCCATAGCTGCCAGTAGCCCTTCCGAGGATAATCGGAACGAACGCGACATCTTCGGCCATCTCCACAAACCCGGCCCCTCCCAGGAGAATGGTCAGTCCTCCGATTCTGGGAACGCCTCTTCCCAGGCGGGCCGCGACCATGTCTCGGGTTATCTCGAAGATCAGCGAACTAAGAAACGCCGGACCGGTCCCAGCCCAAGGGGCGTAGCAAACTTAACGCCAGAGCAGCTCGCCAAGAAGAGAGCAAACGGTATTAGATCCACACCTTAAGACTTTTGCCCAGATCCATATCCAGATCCTATCATCTCGTCGTAAATCCAGCGAGCCTCGTAAGCCAAGCTGTCGTAATTATGCCCCAGATGTATAAATATATAACTCTCTCTGATTGTTACATCCCGATGTTAGCTTATTCTAAATGTAATCCTATGTTCTTATGTATATCCCTTGCTAACTACCTTACCTCCTTCCCTTAGACCGGGAGGCGCAACGGGCCATCCGCGAACGCACTAAGAATCAGATCGAGGCCCTCGAGAGGCGGATACGCGAGTTAACTTCACAACAACCATATCAAGAGCTTCAGGCCGCTATACGGGCCAAGGAGGCTATCGAGGCTGAGAATGCCGAAATTAAAGGCCGGCTGGCCTCTGTCTTATCCCTAATACAACCTATATTATCTAACCAACAAGGTCAGTCGGTCTGGTCAAGCACATAATGTTATTGAAAAATGGTAGGTGGACTAACCTTCTCCTTTTAGTCGATGGAGCCTACGCATCTCCTACCCCTATTATCACGCCAGCTCAGACTGCGCAGCGTTCGCCCTCGGCCCCTACTAGTTACAATGCTTCGACACCCGTGAGCGCTGCGTCTCCTTCCGCAGCAGACACACCATCCCAGGCACAATCACAATCACAATCACAGGCTCATCCAAGTCCGCATTTTACCCAGGTAATGCTAAACCAGCAACGACATGATCTATTTCATAACTTAGATCTCGGTGCTGGTGAGCAGCTCAAGCTTGATTTTCTGCTTGATCCCTCGCATCGTGTGAATAAGATGCAGACTGGTGTCAATGGGGCACAAGACACACCGGGACGTCAGCATCTTCCTACGAAACATGATTGGAACGTCGGCTTGCTCCCGCCCCCTCGGAACCATGCGACCGTCAACAGCGGACCGCACCAACACCAACAGCGTCGCATAGAGTACGCTCCGCGGAATGTATTCCAACCGGTTGACTCGTCTTGGGTTGGTAACTCGGCCCCTATCAAGAACGGCCCGTCGACCTGTCCTCTAGATAGCCTGCTTCTTGAGTTCCTACAAGAGAGACGTCAACGGGCCGCAGAGGGCGTTCCTACGCGAGACATAATCGGCCCGAGATATCCCTCCGTCTCATCCCTACTCAACCCAGCCAATAGCGTATTCTCTCACCCACTCTCCAAGGTCTTTACAGACATATTGGCGGCCTTTCCAGGGATTAGCGGGCTTCCGGAGCGCGTAGCTGTGCTCTACTACATGTTTCTCGTCATGCGGTGGCAAGTCAGCCCTACGCAAGAGAACTACGACCTCTTACCCTCTTTTGCGCTCCCCACGCCGGCACAGCTACAAGTTACCCATCCGGCGTGGATAGACCATCTCCCCTTCCCACACATGCGGGAGAAGCTCGCAAAGGAGTATAATCCCGTAGAGTTTCTATTCGATAACTTTTTCATTCCGTTCACAACCACCATCTCCCTCAACTGGCCGTATGAGGCCACAGACACGCTACTCCAGAGCCCGGACGGTAACGAATTGCTGATCAACCCCGTGTTCGAACGTCACCTGAGGAGATTCGAGAACTGGACGCTGGGCGAGCCTTTCGATAAGGCGTTCCCCCGTCTCAGGGGCACGTATAATCTCAAAAGATGTACTAGCGCCCCGAGGGATATGGCGGATGGCCAGTTTAGCGGTGGGTAATTTGGTATATCTATATATTATCTATATATATATCAATATACATGAACCTATATAAGAAAGTTAGCACAGGTTTAGCCCGGCCATGCTATACGCAACACGTAAAAGAGGGGTTTATATATACTACCTCTCACGGGGATAGTACAGCAAGTATCGGGACCCTGCTATTCCCGAGAAGGTTTAGTTGTAATTACATAACGGTAGATTGGGCAGAACTAATAGAAGAGGCCTAAGGGATGTCTTTGGGCAAGGAGATGTATAAGGTAGAATGTTATGGGGGGTATAAGAAGTTGTTCATCTATCCACCTATATAATGCGAGTATATGTATATAGCTCGTGGCTCAGTATTCAATGTAATAACATAGTGTTTGATAACATCGTTGTCTCCTGAGGAGCTATAGTATGAAGAGTATAAATGAATCTATATCGTATTAGTTAGTCTATGAGCCTAGCCTTCACTGGCGAGAGATGAGAGTAAATATTGGACATAGCCTCGTAAGCCACCTGTATAATGTTTGCTAAGGAGAATATGAGAAACGAGTGTATATCTATGTGTATCTCCTTTTAAAGAACGAAAGCCTGTCTAGAATGAATGAAGCAATAATAATAATAATAGGAAATATCTTCCTATATTTCCCTGTCATTGTTTTCTTCTTGGGGTTTCTTCCCTTTTAGTTTCCCCTTTCTAGTCTGAATAGGGGATCACTTCTTAAAGCCTATACATGCATAAACCACATCCCCCACCCGTCTATCAGATGATCAGATGGGCGTTCTAAGTTAACAAGGGGTTGGGGTGTTTCCTCTACTTGTAGACTTACGTGCATATACAGTACTACGTCTTTATATACGATGCAGGTTCATAGCCATATATCTATCTCACTACAAGTCTTCACCATCTTCAACATATCTCTTAGACACTACCACTCATTCCCTTATATATAAAAGACAATCACGAATAGGCAAAAAGGCGTGAATACTTAAGCCAAGCAAGAATATCAATTATTATCTACTCCTCGGTGCTAAAGCAACTGTGTATGAGTTCTAACGCAACAAAGATCGGGTATATCCTCCTCAAAAATAAACAAATAATCGCAAGCCAAGCTAGATGTGCAAGATGCCCCCCCCCTTTCAAAAATGCAAAGATTCTTCCTGTCCCTCTTCCCCTTTCCGTTCATTCGATCATTCGTTACTCGTGCAAATAGCCAAGTGAAGCAAAGCCAACCGATTCAAACACCTTCCAACGCCGTGCAATGCAATGCAATGCCGTGATAGTCTTCAAACGCACAAACAGGCAAAGAAACAATTTCCTCTTACGAGGCACCCGCACCAACACCCGCAACACAACACAAACCAACACAAACCAACACAAATCGTAAGGTGCAAGACCCTACTCGTCCGCGTCAGGGTCCTTAACCCCAAACGAGTAAACCCTGACGCGGTGGTCCGCGCCCACAAACAAGCTCGGCGTATTATCGCCAACAAACGTCTCCCACTGGACACAGTGGATTGGGCTCCCCGCCACAATCCCATCGACATCCGCACAGCGGAGTCGACGCCCCGTGTGCACCGAGTACAGCGCCATCTTCCCATCATCATGGGCCGCTGCCACGACCCCCGAGTCCCTGTCCACGTCCAGCCCAAGATCGAGGTATGGGCCGTTCTTAAAGCCGGCGATCTGAAGGAAGGGGGTGGTGGTGGCCTTGGGCTTCGTATGTAGGTGTTCGGATGCGCAGTAGCGAGTGTCGAAGACGGAGAGCATATTTCGTAGGCCGGCAACTAGGACTTTGTGCTCACTGACTTGTTTGACGTGGGTGATGGTGTCGCGGACCTTGATGTTGGTCCATTGAGGATATTCGCACCGCAGGTCCCCGGTGAACAAGCGGCCAGGACGACCGCCGAACAAGAGAATGTTGGGGTTCTCTGCTTTGAAGGTGATGCCAAAGGTATCGGCTGTGGGAGGTCGACCCATGGGGTCTTTGAAGTTGAAGTGGCCTAGGGGAAATGGCACTGCCATGTATCCGAAAGGGTTGCAGTAGACTAGGCCGTGAGTTGTGCCAATCACGCAGAGTAGGTCGGGGCTGGTGGACGGAGCTATGCATAACGAGAGAGCCTCTATCGGATCTCGGCATGTAGAAAAGTCTAATAGTTAAGTCTAGTTAGTATACTGTCTACAGTTGTTTACGAATAAAGGCAATCCAATCACTCCACTCACTGGTACTCCAAGGGAGACGGGTCTTTATATGGTGGAGGGGGTTGGCGCCAAGCTGGTGGGTTAAGAGGCTATTGCCTAGTACATTGTGTACATCCGTGTTGAGGCGAATGATGGTAGGATCGAGCCTCTGGAACTGGCGAGGGATAATAACAGTGGCATCATATTTGCTACTATAACCTATGCTTGCCATCGGCGACGGCACAATTTCATGCGCTGGTTCTAGGCGAAGGACTTGTCCATCATTCAACTGGCTGTCATATAACCGGGCACGGAACTGTGAACCTATTCTATTGCCGGTGGTTGTATTAGTATATCTATGAATCTAGAAGATAGAGAGGAATATAAAACATAGGGGGTCATAGCTTATTCCGTACCTGCCTGATTCGATGTCTCTCAAGGTATAGGCCGAATCACATACTCTTCCGTCGGGACCTTGGGAGTTATAGAGTTAGTCTATGCTGCTGGCGACGCTCATATCATGAACTTACTTGCGTAGACTTTACATAGTCCTTTGGGACCTCTGTTGGTGACGACCATGTGGGTGAGCGTGGTATGCTCGCGGCCCCAGGTGAACTCAACAGCGCCCTTCTCAACTATGCCATGGGCAAAAGAAGTTGCGATGTGATCGCGTCTAGGCACGCCAAGCTCACGGTTAAGGAAGCCGCCGATGAGAGGGTGCTCCAGGGTCTCGGAACGAACGATGCGCTTCTTATTCAGCGCAACCTGATGGGCGTGCTCAGCAGCCTCTGTGTCCTCGACCTTACGCTTCTTGACACTATCAGAAGACCAGGCTGCATTGCTCGGCGCCGTCTTGCGCTGTTCAATCTTGAAGTAACGCTTCTTGTCCTTATCTATGGGGAAGTAGGTTAGTGATATGGAGTTACTGATGGGAGGAAAGAAGTTATGAAATCTTTAGCAATAGATGGGAAATTCTGGGATCGCCGATGGGAACGAGAGAGGAAGAAGGGGAGGTGGGGGAAATAGAAGAAGTAGAGAAGATAGAGGAGGTAAAGAAAGTAGATATAGGATCGAGGATATAGCTGAATAAGATGATTATAGGATTACCCATAGGAAGGAATAACAATGTTATAGGAACGATGGTAGGTAGGTAGGTAAGGTAGTCCCAAATATTATGATAGTTTGACAGAATTGCGGCTAGCAAATCACAACATATCACCAGCATTTTAGCTATCAAAAGGCAAATAAACTAACTTACCCCAATAATATCCCGGAATCTCTCTAGGAGGCATTTTTGTCGTAGTTTAAAACGTGGTTTAGGGGGTGTATATAGTACACGTTGTGAAGAAACAGGTCGGCGATCCTAGGAGATAAGTTGGCAATTTGCAGGGAGAAACTGCCGATTTCTAGAGAGGAGTTACTGGTTTATACAGGGGAATAGTCAATCGGTAAAGGGAATTTTCTGATTTTCAGGAAATTGTTAATTTGTACAAGAACGTTGCCGATTTGTAAAGGAAAGTGGTTGGCTTGTAGAGAAAAACTGGTGCATTGCAGATGGTGAAAGTGGAAAGCAGCAACGCGATTGACAAACCTAACAGACGGCAGTATTTAGGCGGTATAATGCGATAACGAACCTGTGAAATATCTCAGGGACAAACGTTCATCTAACTTAAACTCCCATCTAAACAATTTAATAATTATGATATTTATGACATCAAAAAGGAACTAGAGCTAGAGGTAATTGCCTGCATTCGGGGATCTTTTTAAATGCTATACAAGGTGCAGGTAAAGTGCACTAGGTACTTGAACGAATAAGATAAGAGCATTTAACTACAGGATACCAGCATGGCGGTGTACCCTTATGTCGGGGCGCTATACTCTATCAAGATGCAGGCAATACCGACTATAACGATTTATTAAAGATTAATACCACACTAGACAGTAGGGCAGCATGCAAATAGAGGTACCATGCTTATAACAATTAACCATACTTTGGACAAGACTTTTTCACGGATGCTTTGCTATTACACACAAAAACCACTAGCTCCTTAAAAACGTTCATGACTTCAAAAGATTTAAAGAGAGTCCGACAACTACAACACCAGGTTTCACGTTGATATAGTCACATAGTTTGTATTTCTTTCATTCGTACGTAATTAAGTCTAAGAGACATGGGTATGACGTAACCGAAGGCCTATACGCCGTGGTATTTCAGCTTACAAGAAGGAAATGAAGTGAACAACTGAGCCTATGCGGAGTATATCTAATTTATAAACCCAAGGCAAGAGTATGTCACACCAATTAAGAGCCTTCCCGACCGACGACCACCGCAAAAGGAGCGGTTCGTCCGTTTCATCGGGAGACGAACTATTGAGATTTTTCGTGCTGGGTAGAGACACGTTGGAGAGAGACGACTATAAAGCATATTAGTTAAGAGTTCATGAAATCAAAGAGTGATCAAGTGTAACTTACCGAAGTCTTCGAGCGATCTCTGCTTTTGGCTGCCCTTGGGGGACTTGCCGTGCATGAGGTTGTCGAATCCAACGCTGTCCTGGAGGATGTAGTAAACACCACCCATAATACAGAAGACACCAAAGGAGAAGATCCAAATACGGACAACGGCGACAATGTGAGTCAACGCTCCGTTTTCGAAGAAACCCCAGATGGTGAAGCAGGTTGCAAGGATATCGACAAGGAGAATGGCACCAGTCAACTGCCACGAGGGGATAGAAGACCAGAAGGGACCATTAGCACGGGTAATGAAGATCAGCCAGTTCTCAGTAAGAGAAATCTCAAGGAAAAGAACCTCATCCATGTTACCATTGTTCTGGACAATACCACCGTTCTCGCCCTGAGCGTACATGGTGGTAACAGTGATCCAGGTACCGATGGCAAGAACGACACCAAGGAGGACGGACATACCCCAGAGCTTGGGCAGGTTCCATTTGACAGGGCTCATAGAGTAGGGGGCATTGTCGTAGGCGATAGCTAGAGTGGCAACATCGGCGAAGATGGCAATGAAGACAACCAGTTCAATATTGAGGGAGCGGTTCAAGATTGCGATCCACAGGCCGAGGTAGATTTCCAAGTGAAGAGAAAGGGCGATACGGTAGACGACGTAGGCGTACATACGGTGGAAAATTTGTCGGGAAGTCTTGAGAGCGTCAATGATGGCACCTAGACCGGGGGCAAGGAAGACGATATCGGCAGCAGATCGGGCAGCGTCGGAGGCACCCTCGACAGCAATACCAGTATCAGCCTTCTTCAATGACGGAGCATCGTTCACACCGTCACCAGTCATGGCAACAAGGTAACCACGCTGTTGGAGGATCTCGACGACATTGTACTTGTGTTGGGGGAAAACCTCAGCAAAACCATCAGCAGCCTCAACGAAATCGTAAACCTCGGAGCCAGGCATGTCACCACCGCCACCAAGACCAAGACGCTCAGCATTGTAGACGTTGGTACCAAGACCGAGTTGACGGGAAGTTTCACGAGCGATACCGACGGCATCACCAGTAAGCATCTTGATGGAGAGACCTAGGCGCTTGGCTTCGTTGATAGTACGGGCAGTATCGTGACGAGGGGGGTCAGAGCAAGGCATTATACCAAGGATTTCCCAGGCACCCTCACCACGCTTGCGGGCAACACCAAGAGAACGGAAACCACGGGTAGCGAACTCAGCAACCTTGTTCTTGTAGGCCTGGTCAATCTCCTCGGGGATGGGGTGGTCTTCCTCGACAGTCTTCAGAACGAATAGAGGGGCACCCTTGACACAGGTAATGCGTTCACCTTGAGGGGACTCGACGACAGCAGTAACCTTCTTTGAGACAGGGTCGAAGGGGAAGAACTCCTTAACAATGTACTTGGAGAGGACACTCTTGGCACGAGGATAGTACTTCAGGGACTTGAGGAAGGCCTTGTCGATAGCGTCAATACCCTTCTTCTTGCGGCTGGCAGCGAGGCAGGCAGTAAGCATGAGATCCTCGGGGTCAACACCAGCGACAGTGTAAGGCTCAGACAGAGAGAGCTTGTTCTTGGTCAGAGTACCAGTCTTGTCAGAGCAGAGAATCTCAACACCGGCCAAGGACTCGATGGCGGAAAGCTTCTGGACGATGGCCTTCTTCTTGGCAAGGTAAGCAGCACCGACAGCCATGGTTGTAGTGACAACAGCCGGAAGACCGACGGGGACACCGACAATAGTAATGGCAAGGGTGAAACGGAGGATGTCAACGATGGGGTTGGATCGGTAGAAAGAAGAAACCCAGACAACCAAAAGGGTGAAGACGACGAGAATCAACAACACAGTTCCAATACCGTTGAGGACCTCAGTGAAGTGACCGGAACCAGCAGAAGCCTGGTTCACAAGGGCAGCAGCACGACCGACGAAAGTGTTGTCACCAGTGGCGGTAACGACCATGAAGGCCTCACCACGCTTGACAGCTGAAGAAGCAAAGCACTGGTCGCCCTTGTGCTTGTCGACAGCGAGAGATTCACCAGTAATAGCAGATTGGTCGACCTGGAGGAAGGCATCATCGGTGACGATTCGGCCATCAGCAGGAATAATGGTACCCTCTTCGACTTGGAGGATATCACCAGGGACGACTTGGGGAGCCTCAACCTCCTTCAGAGTTCCGTCACGGAGGACGACAGCCTTGAGGGCAAGAGTCTTCTTCAGCTCATCGACAATTGAACCAGCCTGGTATTCCTGAATGAAACCAACACAGGCATTGAGGAGTAGTAGAGCGCAAATGACACCAAAGTCGACCCAATCTTCCAAACCGGCAGCAAGGACGGCAGCAGCCTCCATGACGAATTGAATAGGACCAATAAAGAAACCCTACTTCAGGTTAGGAAACGACAGTTGTTGCACAGAATGTTGCGAAGACTCACCAAGAACTTGAGAATAAGGTTTTCCTTCTCCTCCTTCATCTGATTGAGACCATACTTTCGACGGCGGTTGATAACCTCAGCTATACTCAGGTCAGTTCATATCGCATGCAGTTGCGTCGTAATGCAAAACTTACCCTCTGTTAGACCGACACGAGTGTCAGTTTGGAGCATCTCCTCCGGTACAACACGACCGGCACCAGCAGTTTGCCCTTCTTCTTCCTCCTCCTCGTCGAAAGCGTTGCCATCTTGCGACTCGAGGTCCTCGATCAAGGCATCAATGTCCTCATCATCTTCTTCTTCCGCACCCTTAGCGGGCTTGGCAACAGTAGGGTCGTGGGCGCGCTGAGCCTCCTTCTCGTCGAAGTTACCCGACTCGATGTTGGTGTGAAGCGCCGGAGCGCCGGCGTTTGACTCGGCCATGACGGCGAGCTTCGGTTATGACAGCCGAGCGATGCTCAATATCAAACCAGATTAAATAGAGATTGAGGACCGAGTCCAGGTAATTATTATTATTAGTCCAGGATAGGCGAACTGTGTAGGCGACAATAGGATCCGACTGGAATGCTGATTAGGTTGAAAGGTAGGTAAAAATTGACGATGTTATTTTGTTGGTGAAGTATGATTGTCGTGAGAGTAAGGTAGACGACGTTCAGACTAATCACGCAGGAGGGGAGAGGGGAGATTTGGCGGGAAGGCACCACGGACGACCTTGGGGGGGAATTGACAAGCCAGAGCAGCCGAAAGTCTTCAACGTGATGGGAAGGAAAAAAGAGAAAACGCGTCCAACGTGGGAGAGCAAATTCTTTATAAGGTGAGAGAAACAGAGTGACAAGAGAGAGCAGCTAGTTCCGAGAGTGGGGCACTTGGTCGACCAAGCTTCCAATGGCTCACTACATGGAAGTAGCAGTACAGACTAACACAGTGTGGACTTGCCTTCTGCATGTTTCCACCGGGTCCACTTATTAACGTCTAATAGATCCCCATTGGCCAAGCCGGGGCGATATTCAGAATACCACCTATCACTCCTCTGAACTCAATATTTAAGGTACGTGCTTGTACATACGCACGCGTGATTTTTTTGTAGAATACCTTCATTGCCGAGGTGTTAGTTGCGCCGCAAAACTTAAGGAACAATGGCATCTTAATAACTCAAAGTAGCGTAGATACATGAACTCTCATATGTAATTATAGCAGTTACCCAAGGTACTTAGTTCTTACACCACTGATGTCTCTACCTGTCATATGTATATGTGTATGTATACTTTACCTTGTTAACCTTAAGGTTTGTTGACATTGAAGTTCACATTTAGATGCATGTGTAGCTGGGTTAACTACGCTTGTCCATGGGGAAATTGCTTCTATGCGCCATTAGTACTCAGGGGCCGAAGGTACGATGCATCCCACGCAATACTAAGTGGATGGCCTTTGTAGCTGTACCTCTTTAACTACTGATTTAGGTAAAGTATACAGCTCACGAACTCTACTACAGATAGGGAAGTACATACAAGTCACAGTGTGACTCGGTCCCTGCATGCTCCACCTTTCGGTACCTGAACAGCTTCGACTCCACATCCCATCTCCAAAGCAAAAGAGCAGGAGCACCCCATGAACTTTCTGATCTTGCGGGAATTTACAACTCGATTTCGCCCATGATGACAACACGCGCACCGACTTTTTCGCAACCAATTTACGGTCAAAGCTCTAAAGAGAAAACTTCTGGAGCTGTAGAGGCATTTCTTCTTTCCAATTGACACATTTTCAGGACCTATTCATCTATCTCCATGCGACGGTTGGCATGGGAACAGTTCTGGTCTAATTATTTTGGTGAGATTTTTTTTTTTTCCTCTTCTGGTTTTTCTCTTCTGGTTTTCAGGCTCATCCTAGGTAAATC